TAAGGATGATGGGTTTAATAATAGTTAATTTTTGTAAGGTGATTGATGATAATTCGGAGTTGTGGGTATAAATGGTCGGTCACATTATACATATTATAAAATTAGAAAAATCTATATATTAGTGACTGCGGATAGATTAATGAAATTTTATTGGTTATTGTGATCAATTAATGATGATATGTTGTATGTTTGAGTGTAATGATTTTGATTAATTGGTTATTTGATTTTATTATTATTATTATGTATTGTATATAATAATATACAACAAAGAGTGAGAGATTATTTCTGTGGAAACAATAATGATCTGACGAAGATCAACAAAACTTATAAAAAATATAATTTGTTTTGTGCTGCTTTTTCTTTTCGTTTTATTTTATTTTTCTCTCTGAAACATCATCTTCATTATCATCATCATCTCTTTTTTCTAATTAATTAAAAATTTCTTTACCAAATAATTTTATCTAAAGGAAAAATAAAATAAATATAAAAAATTTTTTATTTTCTCTTTCACATCTCTCTTTCTATTTAAAACAATTTTTTATCAAACTTATTCCGTTTTATCTATTATCTATTATCTATATCTATTTATAATAAATATATTGTATCTACATCTATATAAATTATTATCACATAATTTTTTTATCTTTTATATAATAAATTTTATCCCAAAAAATCTAAATAATCTTCTTTGGATTACTTTACACATAATTGAAAAAATATGTTGGCTTTAAATCATTCGCTAAGTTACCAGAAACAAATAGTTGAAAGTTATTTAAGTAAGTAAAATGGTAAAGAATAACTGTTAAAAGGTTTATTTCTTATGTATTATTTAAAAGAATATGTATATATATATATACATATATATATTATTCATTTTACATATATTATTCATTTCTCATCTTTTATTTCATCTTTTATTTCATTTTAGTTTCTTCACGTCGCAACTCATTTGAGTCAACTGCTTCGACTGAAACAGCATCATCACAAAATTCTCCAATATCAACAACTCCACCTACACCTAGTGAATTTGATAATAACCATCACGCAGCTGATATTCGTACGGCTGTTAATATACTTACTTCTGTTCATTCATCAAAACTTCACAAGGGAAATAATAGTAATAATAACAATGACTCAACTTCTACCAGTTCTTCTGGAAACTCTCTTATTAATAATCATCATAAAGTAACTAAAAGAACATCTTCTAAACCGCCTCGTCAATTGCAATGCTTTAACTGTGGTATTAAGAATACTCCTCTTTGGCGGAGGACTCCAGATAGAATGCATTCGCTTTGTAATGCTTGTGGTTTATATTATAAACAATATCATGTTCACAGGCCGCTTCACATCATACACAAGACAAGAACTTCATCATCTAAATCATATCCATACATTTTACCAGCAATGAAAGGTGAGGATGATGACACTGATGCCATGATGGATGATATGTCAGATATGTCATCTGAACATCTTGGCCATGAATCAAATTATGATGATTATGGTTTGGACAGAAATTGTGTTGAATCTCCGATATACAGTGGCGCTAACTCGATTGAAACCCAAAACACCACCCCCATTTTATCACCTACTTTACCGCCATTAATATCATCACCATCTTTATCATTGTACGCTCCATTATCTTCAATACCTCCAATACCACAATTGATCCAAAAAGAGAAGGAAAAAGAGAGTGATGGTAATGATAGTAGTAGTAATAATGATGATAATAATAATAATAGCAGTAATAATAGCAGTAATAATGATGTTAATAACGATGTTAATAGCGGTAATAATAATAGCGGTAGCAATAATAATGATGTCGGTAATAATGATAGTAGTAGTAGCAATAGTACCAATAGTAATAACGGTAATAGTACTAATGGTAGTAACAGCAGTAATAACAATCTTTCAGAATTTATTTCACCGCCATTTAATAACCAAAACGATTTACAATTTAAAAATTATGTTGATCAAATGTCTAAAAAGCAAATACAAGATTGTTTAATGATGTTAGAGCAAAGGTGTAATATTTTGAAATCTGCATTAGTTAAAGTGGAACAACGTCAAGATGGGGATAAGATGGAAGTGGATAAAGAGGAGGAAAAAGGTGATGAAGGCAATCATTCATAGTAATATAATTATTTGATAATTATTGAAGATTGATTAGTTGATGGTATATATATTTATTGAAATTTTGGTTAAAATTTGACTTATTTTTTTTAAACACTACTACATATGAACATTTATTTTTATCATTATATATATATTATATATACAATTATGGACCATTTTTTTTAGTTAAATATATAAATATATAAATAAATATTCACTTTATTTTAATTTTTAATTTTTTTTATCAGAAATTGATTATCCCAATTTTTGATTATAATATATTTTTTTCTTAATAAAATAGATTTTTTTTTTGCTAATATTTTTACGATTATCTATTAATTTTCCCACAATAATAATACAATTAATATATATACATATATATAACAAAAAATAGAATAAGAATTTTATTATATATAAATATAAATATAATAATATTTTAGAATATAAATATAATTTTTTTTAATTTTAATTTTAGAAAAACTAATTAATAATAATAATAATAAAATTTATACAGTATATTTTTTACATGTAACAACACATTTATGGAGAAAACTCTATAAATATCCATATATGTAATGTAATATATGCGTTGTATGTGCATAATATGTGTATGATATCATTATAAGAAAAAGACCTTTACTATGAAGAATTTTTTGTCAATTTTCAATCTAAAAATATTTTATACCAAATAACAATATAAAATAAATCGCTTCTCTTGTAGTACAATTTCATGATTTACACAAGTGATTGGGTAAATGAATGAAATTTATTATGATTAAAAACATACATTTATTTATCCACAAAAAGTAAATTATAATAAATAAATCACAATTTACCAACGCAGGAGCCAATGACTTTATCAATTATGTAAATTAATCTACAAACCAGGGCTGGGAAATAGTACTTTAATAAAAAAATTGATATTTTTCCTTTTTTTTTTTTTTCGTAAAATTTTTAAAAAAATATTTTCTTAGCATTTTCATATTCAGGAGAAATTTCTATTCAGATCCCCTTTTCCAGCCAGTCCTGCAATCAAAAATTAACCCCTATTTTCCAATTATAATTCTTATATTTATTATTGATGATCATTTGACCTACTCATTTGACCAGAAATTTTATAAAAATAGGAATGAAATATAATATAATAAATGAATATAATATAATAGTTGTTTTCTTTTTATGTGTGTGTATATTTATTGTTTATTTTTTGTTATTATAACTTTAATTATTATTATTAATTATAGGTTGAATAAAGAAAGATAAAAAGGAAATTTTAATTAAAAAGCGTAAAGATTTAATTATTATATTCAATCTCCCAATCGTATGTATGAATCATTTTGATTGGACAAGTGTATCAATTTGATTGGCTTGGATATAATAGGTTGTTGGGTTTGTTTTGATTTGATCGAATCGGATCGGAAACGGTCCATGATGGATAAATTTATTGAAAACTTCTAGTAAATTCTTGAAAAATTTTCATCAAAAATCTATTTAATCAATCGATTAAAAATTTTTATTTTAAAAAAAATAATCCATCTATCATTTCTTTTCCAATAAAAATGCCTGTTCGTACCTATTTTGATATTGAAATTGATGGTCAACGTGAAGGTCGAATAGTTTTTGAACTGGTAAAAATCAATGAATATATGTACATGTGTGTGTGTGTGTGTGTGTATAAAATAAAAAACCTATTTTTTATTAGTTTGATGATATAGTACCAAAAACTGCGGAAAATTTCCGTGCGCTTTGCACAGGTAAAAAATAATAAAATAATGAAAAATTCATCCAATAAAATTCCATACATATTAACGATCGATGGTTTTAATTAATAGGCGAAAAAGGTACTGGCGCTTCTGGAGTTCCATTACACTATAAAGGATGTATATTTCATCGTGTGATCAAGGTAATAAATAATAATGATGAGGATAAATGCTTTCTTATAGGGAGAATGTGAAAGTTATGTTAATTAATAATTTGTGATAGGAATTTATGGTTCAAGGTGGTGATTTTACATTAGGTGATGGTAGAGGTGGTGAAAGTATTTATGGAGAAAAATTTGAAGGTAAAGTAAATTCAATATATATATATATTCACTAGTGAATAATGAGTGGGTGATACTTACCAATTTTTTTTTAAAAAAAAATTTTAAAACAGATGAAAATTTTAAATTAAAACATGATCAACCATTCCTTTTATCAATGGCAAATGCTGGCGTTAACACTAATGGCTCTCAGTTTTTTATCACCACAGTGGTAATTTGATATTTTAATTAAATATCATTCATTCTAAAAACAAAGCAGATCTACGCACATACATATAAGTAACCTTTTTAATAATAAACTTGTTTTAAAAGAATACTCCACATTTAGATGATAAGCATGTAGTTTTTGGCAAGGTTTTAAAAGGAAAGTCAGTTGTTAGAGCTATTGAAAATATTCCAGTATCAGATGATAAACCAACAAAAATTGTTAAAATTGTTGATTGTGGCGAACTAAAAGAAGGCGAGGATGATGGCATACAAGAACCTGTTGATGGTGATATTTATGAAGATTGGCCAGGTAAATAAAAATAAATGAGTACATATGTATATGCATGTATATATTGTATATGAAAGTATATTAAATGACTAATGTTTTTGTTATAAAAAAAATAATTATTACTATAGTTGATTATTCTGAATCCAAAGAACCAAAGGATCTACTTGAAATTGCTAAAAATATAAAAGAAATTGGAAATTCTTATTATAAAAAGTCAGAATATGAAAGTGCAATTAAAAAATACACAAAGGTAAAAAAAAAAAGTATAAATTATATAAATTATTATTTAATTGTTTTATTTTTTTATTTTCTTACTTTTTAAATATTATTATTTTAGGCAATTCGCTATCTTAATGAGAAAATATTAGATGATACAGACGACCCACCTGAACTAAAAAAAGAGTTTCATTCACTAAAAATTTCATGTTACTTAAATAAAGCAGCATGTTCATTGAATTTACAACATTATCAAAATGTAATAAATGATGTTAATATAGTGTTAGAAATGCCATCCGAATACTTATCAACAACTGATAAAGTTAAGGCGTTATATAGACGTGGCACAGCATATAACGGCTTGAAAGATGAGGAAGCAGCTTTAGAGGATTTAAAAGAAGCTAATAAATTAAATCCAAAAGATTCAGCAATTCTAAAAGAATTACAAATAGCTAAACAAAAAATCGTTGCTAGAACAAATGCTCAAAAGAAAGCTTATAGTAAAATGTTTAACTGATTGGTTGAGTAATTAAGAAATAAAGTAAGAAGAAAATAAACAAATCATATATTTATCATTTTTTATTGTTTTTTGACTGTTTTTTATTATTGATTTCAATTAAAAATATACTTTGCAATGACCTAATATGGTCTTTTCCTCCTATTTCATCTTCTACTACAGTTTCCATTGGAATATCAACGGTGTATTTTTCAAAATTAAAGTCAAATGATTTAAGTGGAATTAATTTTGCTTCCAAGTTCCATTTATCTAAATAATGTTGAATTGTTCTTTTTGAGCTATTATTTATTTATTATTAAATAATAATATAAAGTATTAAAGTGTTATTTTTCACGAAATAGATAAATTTATAACTTGATATATAGATATTTAAGTGTTTGTAAATCCACCTTCTTTCTTGATACGAAGTAATAAATTTTGCATTAGGTGAATGATTTGTTAATATATAAGATATTGTTACTAGAAGATCTTCAAAATCTTTTTTGAGAAAAAAGTCTATTTAATAATAATAATAATAGTAGTAGGTAGTGTATGTCCTGTTAATTTTTCCTTTACCTTTTGGATCATAAAATGTATCACTTCCTAATATCCAATCTATTTTTTTGTTACAAGTCTCCAAGTCGTTTAATATATTTAATAGGCCACCATCTTTTCCACCTAATTCATTCAAATCATCATCACCATCATCACCACTACTGCAAAATTCACCCCAAATTAAATCTCTTATCCAAACATTATTATTATTAGCCTTATGTGAAATCAATCGAGTTTTTTCTCTCATTATGGTTGGAGAAGAATAACGAAAGCAAGGTGATAGATCATTTAATATTAATCCATCAGAAATATTTTGTAAAATTTTTGATTTATTAGATCTACCATCATCCGTTAGTATTATCAATGATTCGGATGATAATAAAGCACACAAGTAACCTGGTAATGAAGTCCCTGAACCTAACTAGGTTTATTATATATAATAATATGCATATTATAAATTATAAAGTAATATTAAAGCAATGAATTTAATTTGTTTAAATTGAATAATTGCTTACTTCCAGAATAGTTTTATCTTTAAATAAATTTCTTTTGTTCCAAATATATTCTGCTAATACAAATGAAGAAGGCCATACATAACAACCATAAGATGGATGATATAACTAATATCATTAATTATATATTGATATTTTATTTCTTATATAATATAAATGTAAAAAATACTTACTTGTTTTATTATAATTTCTAATTGTTCATTATTTTTGTCATCATTGAAGTAAAAAGTTTTTGTTGAAGTCATTTTATTTTGTGCAACTATGCATGTAATTTACTGACATATCAAATTATAAAGCAGGTTTTTAGAAACACGCGAGCAGCTTTTGATAAATTTACCAATGTGCGTCACAGTCCGTTGCCTTTAACAAAAAAATACGCGAGAAAACTGTCCGGTGTTGCTGTTCCCAAGTAAACTTTTGACAAACAGACCATTATTTTTAAAAAAATGGGCAGTAGCATTGGCAGGTGCGGTAGCAAATACTGTAGGGTATCCGAAACACAAATATGTTTAAAGATCAGATCATTGATTGGGAAGACGTGGTCTTTTCAAAAATGAGAAAAATCATCAATTCGCAAACGAGAAGTTTACTAAGATGAAAGCAAACGACTCACTAAACACATTTGTTGTCCATACTAACTCCAAACTGTACAATAAAAGGACAATATTTTTTGTTAAATGAAATATCCTGCGTCTATGTGCTCTGAATTCCTGTATCACTGATGATAACAGAAGTGAAACTTTCGTCAGGATCCACTAATAAACAATGGCTTGAAAAACTAATAATAGCGTCTCGCTCACATCAAAAATTGATATCGTGGAACTTTATACAACCAACAAATATTTACCTTGAAAATCCCTAATTCTGGCGGGTAAATTATAAAATATTATGAGAGTTACGATATTTGAATATAAAACTAACAACTCAAAATAATATCAAGATAATAGTTGTTTTTTTTCCGTTATGGCGATGATGATAATAGTAGTAATAGAAGTAATTGATATCTTCTTTCTAGTAGTAATAATGATAGTAGAATATACTAATAATCATAGTAGTAGTAATAATATATAACAATTATTAACTTATATCATCTTTGTTAAAAGGAAATATCTTATTTATAATTTACAGACAGTTGGAAACGATCTTTATGTTCTATTGAGCCTGAAAAATCATTATTAATGAAGAACAATACAGTGACGATAATAATGTAGAATTTTCTGTAATTAATATTTAAACATAACTTCTAATAAAAAAGAAAGTGAAAAAGAGAAAGGAACGTCAGAATATTTGGTTTTTGTAAAACATCTGTTTCCAACAAAAGACATTTTTCTGAAACAAGAAACCAAATGAACTCTAAAAGATCAAACTTAAATCCGAGCTCACAAAGATTGCTATTTATAAAAATCTTGTTCATAATTTTCAAATTTATATAACAAAACTTAATATTTTAAAATAGAATGGAATAAATTGAATAAAACGAATAAAACGTGTATCATGAATAAATCGAATAAGAAATTGTATTAGAAACCGTTGGCTAAACGAGTATACCGGGTGAGAATTGTGCCAAATTCACGGATATATCAAGGAAAACGCACGATGGTTTTAATTAATAGGCGAAAAAGGTACTGGCGCTTCTGGAGTTCCATTACACTATAAAGGATGTATATTTCATCGTGTGATCAAGGTAATAAATAATAATGATGAGGATAAATGCTTTCTTATAGGGAGAATGTGAAAGTTATGTTAATTAATAATTTGTGATAGGAATTTATGGTTCAAGGTGGTGATTTTACATTAGGTGATGGTAGAGGTGGTGAAAGTATTTATGGAGAAAAATTTGAAGGTAAAGTAAATTCAATATATATATATATTCACTAGTGAATAATGAGTGGGTGATACTTACCAATTTTTTTTTAAAAAAAAATTTTAAAACAGATGAAAATTTTAAATTAAAACATGATCAACCATTCCTTTTATCAATGGCAAATGCTGGCGTTAACACTAATGGCTCTCAGTTTTTTATCACCACAGTGGTAATTTGATATTTTAATTAAATATCATTCATTCTAAAAACAAAGCAGATCTACGCACATACATATAAGTAACCTTTTTAATAATAAACTTGTTTTAAAAGAATACTCCACATTTAGATGATAAGCATGTAGTTTTTGGCAAGGTTTTAAAAGGAAAGTCAGTTGTTAGAGCTATTGAAAATATTCCAGTATCAGATGATAAACCAACAAAAATTGTTAAAATTGTTGATTGTGGCGAACTAAAAGAAGGCGAGGATGATGGCATACAAGAACCTGTTGATGGTGATATTTATGAAGATTGGCCAGGTAAATAAAAATAAATGAGTACATATGTATATGCATGTATATATTGTATATGAAAGTATATTAAATGACTAATGTTTTTGTTATAAAAAAAATAATTATTACTATAGTTGATTATTCTGAATCCAAAGAACCAAAGGATCTACTTGAAATTGCTAAAAATATAAAAGAAATTGGAAATTCTTATTATAAAAAGTCAGAATATGAAAGTGCAATTAAAAAATACACAAAGGTAAAAAAAAAAAGTATAAATTATATAAATTATTATTTAATTGTTTTATTTTTTTATTTTCTTACTTTTTAAATATTATTATTTTAGGCAATTCGCTATCTTAATGAGAAAATATTAGATGATACAGACGACCCACCTGAACTAAAAAAAGAGTTTCATTCACTAAAAATTTCATGTTACTTAAATAAAGCAGCATGTTCATTGAATTTACAACATTATCAAAATGTAATAAATGATGTTAATATAGTGTTAGAAATGCCATCCGAATACTTATCAACAACTGATAAAGTTAAGGCGTTATATAGACGTGGCACAGCATATAACGGCTTGAAAGATGAGGAAGCAGCTTTAGAGGATTTAAAAGAAGCTAATAAATTAAATCCAAAAGATTCAGCAATTCTAAAAGAATTACAAATAGCTAAACAAAAAATCGTTGCTAGAACAAATGCTCAAAAGAAAGCTTATAGTAAAATGTTTAACTGATTGGTTGAGTAATTAAGAAATAAAGTAAGAAGAAAATAAACAAATCATATATTTATCATTTTTTATTGTTTTTTGACTGTTTTTTATTATTGATTTCAATTAAAAATATACTTTGCAATGACCTAATATGGTCTTTTCCTCCTATTTCATCTTCTACTACAGTTTCCATTGGAATATCAACGGTGTATTTTTCAAAATTAAAGTCAAATGATTTAAGTGGAATTAATTTTGCTTCCAAGTTCCATTTATCTAAATAATGTTGAATTGTTCTTTTTGAGCTATTATTTATTTATTATTAAATAATAATATAAAGTATTAAAGTGTTATTTTTCACGAAATAGATAAATTTATAACTTGATATATAGATATTTAAGTGTTTGTAAATCCACCTTCTTTCTTGATACGAAGTAATAAATTTTGCATTAGGTGAATGATTTGTTAATATATAAGATATTGTTACTAGAAGATCTTCAAAATCTTTTTTGAGAAAAAAGTCTATTTAATAATAATAATAATAGTAGTAGGTAGTGTATGTCCTGTTAATTTTTCCTTTACCTTTTGGATCATAAAATGTATCACTTCCTAATATCCAATCTATTTTTTTGTTACAAGTCTCCAAGTCGTTTAATATATTTAATAGGCCACCATCTTTTCCACCTAATTCATTCAAATCATCATCACCATCATCACCACTACTGCAAAATTCACCCCAAATTAAATCTCTTATCCAAACATTATTATTATTAGCCTTATGTGAAATCAATCGAGTTTTTTCTCTCATTATGGTTGGAGAAGAATAACGAAAGCAAGGTGATAGATCATTTAATATTAATCCATCAGAAATATTTTGTAAAATTTTTGATTTATTAGATCTACCATCATCCGTTAGTATTATCAATGATTCGGATGATAATAAAGCACACAAGTAACCTGGTAATGAAGTCCCTGAACCTAACTAGGTTTATTATATATAATAATATGCATATTATAAATTATAAAGTAATATTAAAGCAATGAATTTAATTTGTTTAAATTGAATAATTGCTTACTTCCAGAATAGTTTTATCTTTAAATAAATTTCTTTTGTTCCAAATATATTCTGCTAATACAAATGAAGAAGGCCATACATAACAACCATAAGATGGATGATATAACTAATATCATTAATTATATATTGATATTTTATTTCTTATATAATATAAATGTAAAAAATACTTACTTGTTTTATTATAATTTCTAATTGTTCATTATTTTTGTCATCATTGAAGTAAAAAGTTTTTGTTGAAGTCATTTTATTTTGTGCAACTATGCATGTAATTTACTGACATATCAAATTATAAAGCAGGTTTTTAGAAACACGCGAGCAGCTTTTGATAAATTTACCAATGTGCGTCACAGTCCGTTGCCTTTAACAAAAAAATACGCGAGAAAACTGTCCGGTGTTGCTGTTCCCAAGTAAACTTTTGACAAACAGACCATTATTTTTAAAAAAATGGGCAGTAGCATTGGCAGGTGCGGTAGCAAATACTGTAGGGTATCCGAAACACAAATATGTTTAAAGATCAGATCATTGATTGGGAAGACGTGGTCTTTTCAAAAATGAGAAAAATCATCAATTCGCAAACGAGAAGTTTACTAAGATGAAAGCAAACGACTCACTAAACACATTTGTTGTCCATACTAACTCCAAACTGTACAATAAAAGGACAATATTTTTTGTTAAATGAAATATCCTGCGTCTATGTGCTCTGAATTCCTGTATCACTGATGATAACAGAAGTGAAACTTTCGTCAGGATCCACTAATAAACAATGGCTTGAAAAACTAATAATAGCGTCTCGCTCACATCAAAAATTGATATCGTGGAACTTTATACAACCAACAAATATTTACCTTGAAAATCCCTAATTCTGGCGGGTAAATTATAAAATATTATGAGAGTTACGATATTTGAATATAAAACTAACAACTCAAAATAATATCAAGATAATAGTTGTTTTTTTTCCGTTATGGCGATGATGATAATAGTAGTAATAGAAGTAATTGATATCTTCTTTCTAGTAGTAATAATGATAGTAGAATATACTAATAATCATAGTAGTAGTAATAATATATAACAATTATTAACTTATATCATCTTTGTTAAAAGGAAATATCTTATTTATAATTTACAGACAGTTGGAAACGATCTTTATGTTCTATTGAGCCTGAAAAATCATTATTAATGAAGAACAATACAGTGACGATAATAATGTAGAATTTTCTGTAATTAATATTTAAACATAACTTCTAATAAAAAAGAAAGTGAAAAAGAGAAAGGAACGTCAGAATATTTGGTTTTTGTAAAACATCTGTTTCCAACAAAAGACATTTTTCTGAAACAAGAAACCAAATGAACTCTAAAAGATCAAACTTAAATCCGAGCTCACAAAGATTGCTATTTATAAAAATCTTGTTCATAATTTTCAAATTTATATAACAAAACTTAATATTTTAAAATAGAATGGAATAAATTGAATAAAACGAATAAAACGTGTATCATGAATAAATCGAATAAGAAATTGTATTAGAAACCGTTGGCTAAACGAGTATACCGGGTGAGAATTGTGCCAAATTCACGGATATATCAAGGAAAACGCATGATTTTCGTTCCCATTGTTATTTTATTGCTTTACAACATTCCTCGGAATAAAAGCTAGTCGAAATATTAACTTGCAATGAAAAAATTAAAATGCTACACGGTCAACTTGTACATCGAGACGGTGACGCATTTCTTTGGATCAAAGAAATGAAGAAACAGGTGATACTATTATCAGAGTTGGAACTCCCGTCAGACATATCAATGGACATAATATTAATATGACTGTGTCATAAATTCGTAAAGAAATTACGAAATTATCTATTTTGTGTAGGAAGTTCCTTCACTTAAATTACATTTTGTGCTGTTGTCACCTGCAAGATGGACATCATTAGCAAAGGATTGATCAATATCAACACCTAAAAAACTTTCTTCAGACCCAAGGTGTCTTCTTTTTGTATTCATAATCCTATTAGCAATTGAGGCTTCATATTTTTACATGGACGACAAACTGCAATTTTATTTGTCTTGTTTGCCTGTTTATCTAAACCATCCTTTGGAAAAAATGAAAATTTTTATTTAGGTAATGATATACATGGGTGGACATTGGAAGGAGTCATTGCCAACTCAATCTAAATTAAAAATTTGTGTCAAAAAAGGAAACAAATTTTATTATTGTATTTAAAAATTTTAAGGGGAGATTAATAAATTAAACTTAAAATGAATAATTTTATATCAAATTTGAACTTTTCAATTTTTCAACCAAAAATGAATTTTTTAGGATTGTAAAGTTTTCTCCAACTTTTTAATTTTTTTATAAATTATTATTATTTGATTAATTATATTAATACATTTCACTAATAATCTTCAAAAATTAAATAGGTCCAATAAAAATAAAACTTTAAGGACAAAAAAAAACATACCAGAAGGTACAAAACAATTTCAACTTCAGAAATATGCAGAAGCAACTCTTGGTTTAGGAAATTTAAAAGTCGCTGTAGCATTACCTGAAGGTGAAGATGTTAATGAGTGGTTAGCTGTTAATAGTAGGTATCATTCATTCCTTCCTTCATTAAAATCAATAATTGGATAACATGTTAATTAATCTCTTGTGTGTACATATATATAGCATATGATTTCTTAAATCAAATAAATATGTTATATGGAACAATCACTGAATTCTGTACACCACAAGAATGCCCTGTAATGTCTGCTGGAGCAAAGTAATATAATTGATTAATTAGCCTTTAAAATATTTATAAATATTTAATTAAAAAAGTATCATTGTTATTATTGTTATTAGATTTGAATATCATTGGTCTGATGGAGATAAATTTAAAAAACCAGTAAAATTATCAGCTCCAGTTTACGTTGACCATTTGATTGAATGGGTTCAAAATCAACTTGATGATGAATCAATATTTCCAAGTAAAATTGGTAAGAAAATAGATAAATAATTCATTCATTCATCACATAAACAATAAATTAATAATACAATTAATAATTCTAGGTGTCCCATTTCCTAAAAATTTTCAAAATGTTGTCAAAACAATTTTCAAACGACTATTTAGAATTTATGCACATATTTATTTGGCACATTTCTCTGCTATTGTTGCTTTGGGTGAAGAGGCTCATCTGAATACAAGCTTCAAACATTTTATTTATTTTATACAAGAATTTCAACTAATTGAGAAAAAAGAATTACAACCTTTGTCTGAATTAATTGCCAGTCTAACAAGCCAAGATCAAATCTAATGGTGATAATGATATTAGTAATGATAATGATAATAGTGATAGTAATAATAATAATGATGATGATGATGATGATTACAAGTATCAAGTAATTTAATATTTGTATAAATAATATAACATTATTATATATAGATTTCATAATAGACTATTTTTGCTGCATGAGAATTCCAAATTTTTTAATAAAAAAAAGTTAGGTTGTCCTTTTTGCAAATAATAACAAACTGAGGGCATCTGGTGGTGCAGTCCGTAGATGGTCAATCCGTTCATATACGGATTGATGGATGGCCTTTTAAGTCAACAGATTACGGATGTCCAAAAAAACCTTACTCGGATCACCCATCAGGCAAAACCCACAGGTCACCCGGAAATGTCCTGTGACTGCTAACCTGTTTTGGAAATTGACATTTTGCACTTTGTCAAATAAGCATAATAATAATAGCATGACTTGCATATCAAGTGAAAGGTTTTCCTCATAAAAATTGCAAATAGTTATCATGGTTTTCCATTCGAAATAGATTTATTACTCGAACACGTCGCGATTTTGTGTTTTTTTTTCGAAATGCTCAAATCCCGTCAAGTGGACAAGCCTAAGCAACAAATTGAAAATCGGTTCCTTTCGTCCTTTCTTTACTTTGCTTTTAAACTTAGGTTATAAAAACATTTTGAGATTTTTTCATCTCTAGATAATAATTTTTGACTTTTCACTAAATTCTTTTTCCTTTGTTTACATATTTTATTATTGTTATGATAATAATATTTTAGTATTACAGGATAATCCTCGTTTCAACGGAGTGATTGGGACATATAAGAAAATTTCATTTAGAATTCGTTGAAACGAAATTACTATTACTAATCGCGTTTCGACGATTTTTATGTTTTCATAATAATAATAATTATGACTATAACGAAATTGTTGTAATTATGCTTGGAATAACATACTAATACTAATACTAATATTAATATTAATCTGCCCGTTCATATCTCGTTCGATGCAACGATAATTATGATCATTGCTACTTGAACTAGCTTTATTATTATGATCAATGTCCATTTAAACTGAAAACATTAAAGAAATTCAAAATTCTGACATATTTCCACGATGATTTTTTAATATAGAAAAAGGATGTATTGCAACAATGTATTGGCGTGCGAAATTAACCCGGATAATGCTGAAGATGCAGACAGGGAGTTAGAGTGACTTGGAGTCTGCAAGTTTTATTTTAACTTGGATCAAACTTCTATCGTTATCATAGAAATGAAACAAGGTAAATCACCTGATCTAGCAAAATGCTATCAAAAGGTTCCTATTTTTTTATAAGATTATTAATGTTTATTCAAGAGGGAATCATTGTGGGGAACATTCTTGACAAATAATTCATAAGGGTTCCAACGATATATACTCTTTATATCTGACAAATGTGCTACCATAAAAATGGAGGTCATATTTATATTCCATCAGGTCAGCGAGAAGACCAGAAATATGTCCACATCAATGATTCGGAATAAGCTTTAAGAAAAATTGGAGCTGGATTGTGTTACAAATTCAAATAGTTTGAAAAACAGAGTTTATTAACAAAACAGCTGGTCATTCATCGTATGTTGCTAATTTGCCTATCTATCATCATTACATTCATCAATCATAGGATCTTCCAAGTACAATATTACCGCACCAACAAAACATCCATATTTTTTTAATCATTCTAACTATTTACACTATATGTACAGCCACTCCGTTGAAACGAGGGTTATACTGTATAAGCCAAAGATTGAAAGTCACTGCCGTCTTGTAAATTTAATATTTAATGAATATCTAATAAACAAATATACATCACATGGCTAGTTAATATAACATTTAAATGTTTCAAATTGTTGGTCACTGAAAAAATATTCCAAGGAAATTTATTTATTAATTATTCAACTGATACGAGAAAGAAAGTGCAAATTAATATAGGTTTAAAAAAAAGGTTGATTTAAGAAATTACAGTAAACAATGAAATTATTTTTATCAGATCTCCTTAGCGTTTACTGCATCATGTTCTACCGCGTACTTTTTTTTTAACTCTGTGATTGATTTTCCAACAAAAAAATATAAAGGAGCCTTTGCGGTTCTACCTATATCACGATTGTTCTTTTGTTTATCTTCTTCGAGAATTTTTATTTCGAGGTCATTTAAACTAGTAAAGCTTTTTTTTCCAGAGATGTCAGAAATGATAGTAATTTTTCCCTTCTCGTCAATATCCTCAATCTGAACAAAGTTGTGCATATTCAAAATTAAAGACGTGCCATTTAATGATGTATTAAAATGCAAATGTCAAACACAAAGTATGGAAGATTTTAAGAAATATTTTATGATGAAAACCTTGCATCCATAGATAACAGTATCGCCATGTGCGGTACTTCTATAATAAAGTAATGGATCATTACGTTTGATATATCCACTGGTGTATAATTGATATAATTTTACTTCTGCAGACTTGTTGGCATTTTGAGCTGGATCAAGATCTGTGTAATGTTGCAAATGATCTTTTATTTAACCCTTGTTCCTTGCTAGCGTTTACCTGTAAATAAAATTAATTAATTACCTGGTGTGTCGTTTGTAGACAATTTGGACATGTTAGCAACCAAGTTTCCAATTTCTTTACCGACTACAAAAGTATTTACATAAAACCACCTTAACTTCTGCGAATAAAGCCTACCCTTGAGACATAATAACTTTTTAAAAACACAATGCTTTTATTTACTCACTTTTATCACCTTCTTGTCGCTCTTTGTTTAGTTTTCCAATTGTCTCGGCTATTTCTAGCGCAACTCCGTGTGGGAATTCGTAGAAGCCCGGTTTACGAGAAAGCATTTCTTCCGTCAATAGAAGGAAGGATATGCCATTAATTTTTTGTTGTTCAAATTTTTTACGCACATTATTTTCTTCAACAAACGATTTGCCCTTCTGCTTCTCTAGATAAGTGATGATATTTTCTAGATTCCAATCTTTAGGGTTAATTGGTAATGAAGACATGATTTTGCAAGTGAGGCAAATTAGATTACTTTTTCCTCTATTTTATCCTTGCTTTTGGGACTAGTATTTTTTGGGAAAGTTAAGTCAGAATGATATCATTGATTTCGTCATTACTATTTATTATTAATGTTATCATTATATAATTGTAATTTTTAGTATTAGTATTAGTATTAGTATTAGTATTAGTATTAGTATTAGTATTAGTAGTTGAGAGTCGTTCTTAAAGAAAGGCTCGAGTATTGAAGATGAATAATTATCATTTATTAATTCTAATTCTAATTCTAACTAATAATATTATTAATAGTAGCTATAAATAAAATTTTTATTCAAGAGATTTTATATTAATACAATTGTTTAAAAATTGGAACTATTTCCCTTTTTACATATTAATAAATATATATAAAATGTCTGAAACCTAAGATTTTTCTGGATTTTGTAAGACAATTAAATAATATTCATTTTCTTTGATTTTTCATTTAAATGTGGAAAAGAAAAAGATTTAAAATCAATTTTATTATTATATTGATAAAAAGAAAGATTTCATAGAATCATAAGAAAGTTAAATCATTCTAATGATCAATAAAAAAAATATATATCATTAATTCCAAATTATCCAGAGTAGCAAGCAAGAAAGAAAGAAAATAAAAAAAAACAGATGTAACCAACTAACCGATTCATCCATATCTTTAACACAAGTTTTAGCTTGTTCAATAAGTTTAGTGATCAAATCAGAGTATTTTTTTGATAAATTCACATCGAAGGTTGATTTAATTGTTTGTCCATCTTCATTAACAATCATTACACCTTGCACATGTTTATTAGTTGACAAACGCTTAATTGTTTCTTCTACTTCTGTGGTACTTTGCTAATTTTATTTTTAGGAAAAAAAAAAGAAAGTACCTCTTTATTAAAATACTTGATCGAAATATTCATTCTTATTCCTTTTTTTGCCATATGTTATGTATTTTAAGTAGCTTTACTTACTATCATTTTGGTTAATTCTTGCTTTCTTTTCAAAAAAATTTATAAATAATTGAGAAAAAAAAATCCCAATATTTGTCATATGCAATTTTGGGGGTCCAGTATTATGTGTATTACAAACATATGATATTTTTGTCGATTATTTTATAGATATATAGTAAATCGTGCAACTTCAAACCACTAAAGCTTTTTTTATTCTAAAAATGGAGAGTTTTTTAATTTAAAAAAAATGCCTTGGTGGTTTGAGGTTGCATGATTTTTTGATGTCCTGCATTATACATAGTAAAGACACATAAAATTCAGACCCGTATAACTTTTGAAGGAAACGATTTATAACAAATAATAATATCCTCTTAATAATATCCAGGTGTTGAGCTTTATTGGTTGCCAAAGTACTTAAGCACCTGGATCCCAAGCTCTAGTGATAATGCCCGCTTTTCACTTGTCCAAAGCCTTCAAACTTGCTTAGGACCCTTTTTCACCTGTGGGAAAAATTCCATAATATTTAATTGCACAGTCCTGGATGTTTGTGGAGTTGTTTGTGAGAATAGTGGACTATCCATATAAAGTAACAATCATTGTTAACTAACAGAATTAATTGAAAAGCACTTTAAAATGAAAACTTCTAATAATTATTACTTTTAGTATTTGTATATATCAATTCCTATATTATAATTAATAAAATTTATTAAATAAAGTAATGATTTCGTTTAAAGTGTAAATTTCCACATCAAAAAAATGAGATGCGATTTCCCATTATATGGATTACATATGCTGCGTGAAACAAAAAAATTTACTTTTTTGGGAAATTTCTGCCATCTTATAAAAAAGCAATCATGTGATTTATGGCGCTTCTCTATATTTATTATTTATTGATTTAGAAGGGCAGAGAAATATGAATAAAATAGATGTGATTGCTTTGTTTTTTTCATCGTTTATATTTATAATTCATATTAATGCCTCAACAGGTATTAAAACTAATCACAAGATTCTCAATAATAATAATAACAACTAATTAATTTTCTACTGGAATTATCATAAAGATTCACTTTGTGTAGGACATCGAGGTTATACGTTAGGTGGACACCCAGAGAATACATTGATATCATTGGAAAAAGCAATTTCAGCAGGAGCTGATGGATTAGAATCTGATGTCAGATTGACAAAAGATGGTGAAGTGATAATGATACATGATGATTCATTTAATAGAACCACTAATGGTACTGGGCTGGTTATTGATCATGATTGGAATGGATATATTGAATATTTGAAAACTAAGGATGGTACCGCCAATATTCCAAGATTCCAAGATGTCTTGAATTTATTGAAAAAACAAGAAAATAAAAATATATTCTTGATTGTTGACATCAAGGCAATTAATTATTAATTAAATAAAGAATTATTTATTTAATAATATAAACAAATAACTCATATGTCCATTGCTATATACCTTTTAATTATATGCACTTTTCATATATCTATTATATTAGCGTAATAATCCCATTCAAATAATTGATAAAATGGCAGAAATATTCTACAAATCAAATTCAGATTATGACTTTGGAAATCAAATATTCTTGGGTGTCTGGACGTATGAATTTTACTTGAGGACTAAAAAATTAATTCCAAAATTACCAATTTCTTATATTGGCGATGATATTTCAATTGCTAGGGAAAATTATTTTGATTATATAGAAAGTTATAATATGGAATACCCACAAGTGTTGTTGGATCATACCAAGTTCACCAAAACATTGTGTGAAAAAGGTAGGAAAATGTTTGTGTGGACAGTTAATGAAGATGGTGACTTGAAGTCAGTTATGAATTATGGACATAGTGAAGGTTATGGCGTGTATGGAATTTTATCAGATGATGTTGTCAAGTGTATTAGAGTCAGAGGGAAAATTTTGAGAAGAAGAAAATTTTGGAGACAATTCTAATTAGCCAATCAAATCTATATATTTATTTGAATTATTTATTTTATTTTTATTTGAATCATCTATTTGAATAATTTGTTTAGAAAAGTGTAAAATTATAACTTTAATAATTCTAATAATTATAAAATTATTTATTGATACAACTTACTATATCTTTGGAAATTCTTTTGTGTTTATATTTAACATCAATATTTGCTTTATAATTATTTATCAAAGACAAGTTCAAATCAATGATTGTGCTATGGTCCTGATCCATGAGCACACTCCGAATGTCATGGACCAGCAATTAATATTAACACACTACCTAAATTATAAGATACATGATTGCAGTGACTGCATCAACTTTAGAGCAATTCCCACAATATCAACTTTAAGAAGTTGATCCAAAAATTCTGAATGAATTGTAATGGGGGTTTACAGTGATGTCAGCCAGCTGATTTTTTTTTTGTAAAGAAATTTTTCTGGCATTTCTCAGAAGTCAACTTTATCATTGTTTTTTGATGATAATCAAATAAAAGGCAAATAAATCTTTTGTATCAAACAATTGACAATTTTATTAGCTAACTTTTTACAAACATGTAAGAAGGTAGTTTTACCAAATCTTGCTGTGCAAGCAAGAATTACTTGGCAATACCGGCAAGCTCAGTACCATCCAGAGAGATTGTTTCCATTAGCTGGAAATGCATTTACAAAGGAAAGAAATAGACTTTGTAAAATAGTATGATTTCTATTTAGATTTTTGATATAATTCATACATACAAGTTCTTAGCTGGCTTGACCAGCTAAGCTTTTTTTAACGGTTGGTATCACCAGTTTACAGGATATCAAGTTGATAAATTATTAGGAAATTCACATATCAAAGAAACCAGTAGATATGGATAAAGGGGAAAATTTATTTATTTCATAAATTCTTTACAATAAACTTATTATTTGTGGCCTTCTGGAAACCATCTTATCAAACTGTTCTTTTATTTTCAATCATAAAATCTGAGCACATGATCTTTCTAATGTTCCGTCTTTAAGACAAGGAAGTCTTGAACTGAACATTAAGCCAACACACTGCATTATCTGTTCAGCATATGGTCTGTTGGATAATGAATTAACAAAATATATGTTAAATGGTGAAAAAACAATTTGACCTTGATGACAAATACGCTTTAAACGGTTGTTCCTCTGTACCCATCTATTGTTTGAGTCATTTCTATTGTAATTTAAATGGCGAGACTTCAAATGTAATCACCACCTGGTGCAATGTCAAGAATAAATCAGAATTAGCTACTACTGATGAAGATTTTTGCTAGTCGACCCATTTTTGGCCCATTTTTGCTATATTTTACGGCTACCAATCATTCACGAGCAAAATTTCATTGCGAATGCAAATCCATTATTCTTTGTATAGAACCCTACAGTGATTCGTGCCGTTGAGGCACGTAGTGCTGAACATGCCTGAAGGGTGGTAGAATTCCAAACCAGAGCATAAATTACAATGATTCATGCTGTTTAAGGTTTCCGATTGAAACTATCTCTCTTGGTAGCTGAAACATTGGCCCAATTTATTTTACATTAATATATAGCCGAAATTGAGCGAAATTATTTTTTAAATTAAAATGAGTTGGTTTATACAGTTCATTATTATAATAAAAAATATCGAGAAACTCAAACTATTGCCAAAGATACTTTTTTTAAAAGAAAAATAGTTTGGACCGAAAACCTTAATGCTGTTGAGGCACGTAATGTCAAACATTCCTGAAGGGTGGATAGCATACATACCAAACAATCAAACATAAATAATAATTTGGAGAACGTCCAAAACCGTTTGCACACATAGTTCGCTAAACAAAAAAACAAGGCAAAAGAGCGAACCAAACAAAAAATGACCATGGGCCCATTTCCCGAAGGGCACGGAAAGCTTATTTGAGATGCTAATTATAATCCTCTAGTTTACAGGATATCAAGTTGATAAATTATTAGGAAATTCACATATCAAAGAAACCAGTAGATATGGATAAAGGGGAAAATTTATTTATTTCATAAATTCTTTACAATAAACTTATTATTTGTGGCCTTCTGGAAACCATCTTATCAAACTGTTCTTTTATTTTCAATCATAAAATCTGAGCACATGATCTTTCTAATGTTCCGTCTTTAAGACAAGGAAGTCTTGAACTGAACATTAAGCCAACACACTGCATTATCTGTTCAGCATATGGTCTGTTGGATAATGAATTAACAAAATATATGTTAAATGGTGAAAAAACAATTTGACCTTGATGACAAATACGCTTTAAACGGTTGTTCCTCTGTACCCATCTATTGTTTGAGTCATTTCTATTGTAATTTAAATGGCGAGACTTCAAATGTAATCACCACCTGGTGCAATGTCAAGAATAAATCAGAATTAGCTACTACTGATGAAGATTTTTGCTAGTCGACCCATTTTTGGCCCATTTTTGCTATATTTTACGGCTACCAATCATTCACGAGCAAAATTTCATTGCGAATGCAAATCCATTATTCTTTGTATAGAACCCTACAGTGATTCGTGCCGTTGAGGCACGTAGTGCTGAACATGCCTGAAGGGTGGTAGAATTCCAAACCAGAGCATAAATTACAATGATTCATGCTGTTTAAGGTTTCCGATTGAAACTATCTCTCTTGGTAGCTGAAACATTGGCCCAATTTATTTTACATTAATATATAGCCGAAATTGAGCGAAATTATTTTTTAAATTAAAATGAGTTGGTTTATACAGTTCATTATTATAATAAAAAATATCGAGAAACTCAAACTATTGCCAAAGATACTTTTTTTAAAAGAAAAATAGTTTGGACCGAAAACCTTAATGCTGTTGAGGCACGTAATGTCAAACATTCCTGAAGGGTGGATAGCATACATACCAAACAATCAAACATAAATAATAATTTGGAGAACGTCCAAAACCGTTTGCACACATAGTTCGCTAAACAAAAAAACAAGGCAAAAGAGCGAACCAAACAAAAAATGACCATGGGCCCATTTCCCGAAGGGCACGGAAAGCTTATTTGAGATGCTAATTATAATCCTCTAGAGCAAGGTATCACAACCAAAATTTCTAATTAAAGATAGCCAGGTGTAAGGTAGGCCAAATAAAAATTTTGAGTTAAATTCTCCAGCAATAGATAGATAAAAATGGATGCGTATATAAAACAAGCACTCAGCTATATTGGCTTCAATGATAACACAGACCCACCCCTTCGAAAAGGGAGGGTGATGTGCTAGAGCTACTCAGCACCCTATCCACATATACCACCTGAGCTTACAGGAGGAGGGATATTATCACACATAACGAGCCCTGTTAAACCATGCTCCACATGGTATAATAAAGGAAGAAAGAAGAGCAACATACCGAAATAAGGACGAAATATTAGATTGACTAAGGTGTTGAAAAATGGTGACAAATTATAGGCTCGACTTCATAGAGGAATCAATTAGAAATTCGTATTCGTAATCGCCTAAATAGATTTAAGGAGAATCCCTAGAGATATTTATATGGATTTGATGGAAAGTGTGCCGAGAAGGATAGAAGCTGTTATATCCAATAATGAGCGGCTAATAAATTATTGAGTTACGTACAAAAGAGAAAATTTTCAGATATGGTTATTATGTGTGCCTAGAAAGTTCCATATACATATTCTTGAGAACCTTAGTCACGATTGATAAAAATTATTTACATCTCTATTATGCAATTAATGGTTTTATTGTAGTAAATTGCTTCGGAAAATTTTATGTAACGTGATACAAAGACGAAATTGGAAAAAGACATATCGGGAAAGCATAAATAACAGAGGAAATAATGCTATTAGTTCTTGATAAAAAAGTTCTTTAATCTTTAATTAGGAATTATCATAAAATATTTAATTAATAACCAAGAAGCAAATCATCTTGATTCCTAGATGATATTACTTCAATTTATTACAAATGTTGGATTTCTTTCATACATTTTTCTTTAGTTTTAATGATACAGTTGCACCTGTCTATTTGCATAATCTGTTCATTTGCATAAAGGTAGCTCAGTCCCGTATCGGGACTTATGAACTATTTGCATAACGTAAACGTGCATATGCATCCTGTTTCTACTGGGTTCCACTAACGTAAATATGCATATTCATACTATAAAAGGAAAGATCAACTACAATAATTTTCAAAAAAATCTTTAATATTGCTTTGTTTCATAGAATCAGAATAAATCTTTTTCGCGTGTTCAAGTTCGGGATATTTCACATTACAAGATTTTTCTGTAGTGGATTTGTTTCACTACTTAAAAATTCGGATGAACGCTTTAATGTTCTGGAAATTGTTGCTAGATCAATTTTTACCCCAAATTTTTGTTGAACCATTTTGCTTTTTTAAACAAACTTATGAAGTTGTTCGTTGTTTAATTTAACTTTCTTCATTTATGGATATAAAGGATAACAAAATAATATAATAAATAATGTTTGTGTAAAAATCAAAAATTATTTTAATGAATCATGAATGACGCGAAGTGATTTTTACATAATATGTCATGTGACAGTTAATTCATCAGTCACATGATAACGCGAATATGCATAAATTTTTTCTGTAAGGGCGCTGACATATATTAGCTAATATTTTAGGGGGTGGGGGGATAACAGAAAATCTTAGGTCACACATAATCTTATAAATAACGTGATCATAATGGCTTCAGTGAAAGATCTGCATTTTTATAATTTTGAATGTAAGTGTTTTAATTTGGGAATGATCTGCATGTAAACCAATTGTCATTTACAAAAAAATTGTATTACACTTTTTGTCTACAGGATGATATGGCAATTAGTTCTCACATTTTCATATACATAAATGCTATAATTAATCATTATTTATCTGATATACATTTCCTTAAACATATTTTGTCAAAAAGAGGTCACTTTTGTTGTGATAGAGAAATCATCAATAATCCTTGAGTTTTGTTCTTTAGATTTTCCTTTAGCAGGATTCATTGTTTGTAATTTTCAAATAAGTAAGAGTTATTACACTCAGAACCAAATAGGTTGTTTTGTCAAAGAAATAGCCAGTGCAAATTATACCCAGGAATTCCAAGAGATCATAATATATTATAAAGGTAATTTTTTTTACTCCGAAGTTGCTTTTAAAATGTATGATTTATTAATAAAATTAATTCTTTTTTTTGCTCTTGCTTTGTTGATACCTAAAAAGGCAAATATGTATCATGCATGTGATCAAAATGTCTTACCAGGGGGTGGGGGAGTAAGCAACAGGAGAGAATGTACTGGGAACACAAAAATTAACAGGAGGGAATACAAAATTTTAACCCATGCAATTTGTTGATTGACCAATTAAAAT